TTTTTTTTTTCTCTTTTTTTTGCAGAATGTTGTACGTTTTGTTGTTTTTTTCCTTTTCTTCTTCTTCGGTTGTGTACTACCGGTTGTCCGAGGCTCGGCATTAAAGTCCGAGGCTCGGGGATGATCGGGCGACCGGTAGTCCGAGCCTCAGACTTGATAGCTGAGCGAGGTACTGGTGGTTTAAAGTCTGGATCTATCCTGCACATTGCACGGATGTTTTCCCATCAAACTTTCCCAGGGCGCTAGAGATTTGTGTCCTTCGGCGGTAGTCTGGGCGAACGAGCGCGGGCGGATCATGGGGCTTTGGCATTTGCTGTCTTTTCTGTGGCTGTGTTACTTTGGGTCTTGCTCCACTACTGTCTGCTATAGAGAATTTTGTATAGCGGCCGTATAGCTGTCAGAGCTAAAAAAACCATATAAACCGTGGCGTCGCTCCACTTCCTGTCTGCTATTCAAGTCTCCAATTCCTGAGTTCACTACAAAATACCCATACAGCACTACACAACAGCAATTTGTCGGCCCAGACTCCAGGTGCTAGATTCAATTTCGCGGTAGAACGCCGACCTCCTTCGACCACCCTCCGAGTAATGACGGTTGCGGGCTGGGAACTATACGGGATCGTATGGTGAATTTGGAGGGCGCCATCTGACAACTATACGGTGGTTTCCTAAGGTACATTTAGGATAGCAAGGGGAAGTGTCCCACTATCCGAAATCGTACAGCAGATAGTAGTGGAGCGAGACCCTTTGTCGATGTGTGTGTGTATGGAGATGAATGTGAAACACATGTAGGTTATCTTTATCTTGGTAACTAGTGTGTGTGTATGGAGACGAGTGTGAAACACCTGTAGGTCATCCTTATCATGGTAAAGACCATGGACCATACTAGCACAGCATCTCAGGAGGTAAAAAAATCATAAAATATGCATCTGGGAGAGTCAAAAAAAAAAAAAAACTGATCAGAACAGATACTACACTTGATCTTAGCCAAAAGGCCGAGAGAGGTATAAAAAAAACAGTTAAAAAAAAAAAAAATAAAAATAAAATGAAAAGTGAAATGAGCCAAGTACTGGTCAAGTTCCACCTCGCCATACATAAATGAACTTGCACATGAGAGTTCACATGTGAGAAGACAAAACCGAGATACAATCAACACATGAAGATGTGGTCTCGGAAATTTTTATCAGTAAACAATCTCCAGCGGCTTTGACACACACACACACACTCTCAACTTCACGGCTACTATGGCTTCTCCTCCCCCTCTCCTTTTCTCTTTGGCTCGCTCTGCCTCACTCTCTCTCTACCGCTATCCTAAAACGTTACCCTTGATCAGGTCCGCTTCACCTTCGGCGGCTATGGGTGCCCTAATGTCCAACCGCTAGCTACGGCCGCACTCTTCTTCCTCAGGCGCGAAGTGCCCAAGGCAAACTGCCAGTACACGGCCCCAGCCTTGCTGAAAAGAAAACCCGTGGCCTAAGAAAATTTTGGAGGCCCAGCGCCGTAGACGAATTCAATCGGCGGCGGGCGGCCTCCAAAAAGGGCCCGAGGCCGATAGCTGGATGTACCGGTGGTTTAACGCACAAGCAGAAGTGGCGCTTCCGCATCTCGCAACCGAACAAGTGATGAGCCGCTGCACTGTACCAGCCAAATATAGGACAGGACTTGGCTTGGCCTGTTTCAGACCAGTACCGGTCGACGCGGCCTGTCTGCTGCAATCATTTTGTCAGTCCGGTGGCTTCCGGACTTTCCTGGGACATGCTGCAAAATTGGACGTGGGCCTTTTTTTTTTTTTTGTTTGTTTTTTGTTTTAACAACGGGCCCAGTGCCCAAGGCTGATATTCCAAATGATAATATTGAGGCCGGGGTCCTCACAATCTGCCCGGAGACACCGAACCAAAAACACCWATTCTRAATGATGAAAATGATWCTGCCTCTTCTGCAGAACAAGATTACAACTATGTAGTATCACCTATTATAGCCTCCCAAACCTAGATAAACACCTAGCCCTCCTTATACCAGAACAAAGTTACCCAGAAACAATATCTACCTAACTAACATCACCCATTGCTGCTCTCTTCTCGCCACCTCGCAGCCCCCCCCAATTCGCCTCTGAATTGCCTTCCTCCCTCGGCAACACCCAGATCTCTCTACAAGGCCTCACGCTTCTGCGATTTGCAGATTACAGGGCAGCACCCCAGATCCGGTCAGCGTCGTTCTGGCATCGGCAAACCAGGGGCACAGAACAGAGCAGCGCTGTTGACATCAGTCCAGTTTCCACCATCTCTGAGCGCCAATACCCCAGATACGGACAAAGACCAGATACTTATCATAGTCTAGAAACCCAAAAAAAAGGACGTGGGCCTACTGGACTGGACTGGACATTTCTTGTCGGGTACTGGGCGGACTCCTACCGGGCTCTGACGCGCAACCTCACGCCCTGCGCTGTCTTCCGTTCGGAGTGCCAAGGGCGCGGAAAGGAGGCCCCGAAAAACAGCAAGATGGGGTGTGCCAAGGATTTTTGGGAAATTGAGTGTGGGGGCACAGGCAGAACTGAAATCCCCTGTGTTGGTCTGATGAAGTGAGCGATTTGGCGGGTTTCGCTATGCGCGGAATTTGCGACGTGGGGAAGTTTTGAATTCAATCTAAAAAGTACTGTCGGACTTCCCACCGGGCCACGGCTCATCGTTTGGAGTGGAAGGGAGCGGGCACGTGTTTAGTATCCCGTTTTCGCACTATCTCCCGACGCCGCTCGTTACACAATTCTGAGTCCGACGTGGACGGTCTCAATCGCGTGGCCCTTTCCTTGTGCTCGTCCTCGTTCAGCGTTCGGTAATGGAACCCCTTCGCCTGGTAGTGATAGAGACGTTGGCAATCACTACACAAGGTGTTAGGTCAATGGGGTGCCACTGCCGACCACGGAATGACGATCAACTCGTTAAAGGGTAGTAGCAGTGAGTATGGCGGAAAGTGCGTATCCACAATGACAAACCCCGCGCCTACGAACCCAGAACACCGATTTTCAGAAGGGAAATAGTACTGCCCACCGATCTTTGAGACGGCTTCTCGTATGTCCCACTCACAGATTCGCGTCCGGTCCTCGTTATACGGGAAGTGGCGAAGAGGGGTTACGGGAGGCTGTCGCCCAGTGGAATTGAGCCTGTTAGTTCACATGGCAACCAATCGTGAATATCTTAATCATTCATCGTGTGCATGCAATCCTAGCAATCCGATCGGAAAAGCCAGATATGAGAAGCAGAGGGTTCTGAGAAAGAGAAAGGAGAGTTCAGGTGTGGCGAGACACAGTCACTATGCATCGCATACTCGCGGCTTTCCTTCGAAATTCACAAATCAAAGCATTCCTGCATTTCCAAATCCCAATAACATTGCCCCTGTTGTCGGGTCGCCCTAATCAAGATGGGTTTCGTACCCGTTCACTCTCATCTCCCATGCATGCATTCACCGTGGAAGGTGCGAAAAATGACAATCCTGCAATTTTCCCAATAAGGTTGACGTCAAGTGAAGAATCTTTGGTGATCGATACACGCGCATCCACCATTCACAAGGCAAAATCCAATAGCTCGGGGGACTACCCTGGAAACTAATGATAGAGTTCCGGACTATGTAACCGGTTGAACGCCGTGAACGCGCGTTCACGTTCAAACACTCACGTTCAACCCTCCCCGCCTCGCGTTCAATCGCGTTTAAACGCGCTACACGCGCGCGCGCGCGAAAAAATTGAACGTAGTCCCGCGAGGCGCGCGCGCGCGACTGGGGCTACGGGGTGGTGGTCGCGGTTCGACGAACCCCCGAAGTGCGAAAACCGCCCCCAGGGACCACCCAATACCCCCCCCCCCCCCCC